TACATAATTTTAATTGTCTTCATTAATATTTATAAAGCCTTCTCAATATAAACCTTTAACTACCATTTTTAGTGCTAGTTATGATACATTTAGGGTCTGTTTGGGGAAGCTGTTGTGAGAAAGTTGCTGCAGGGAAGCTGTTGTGAGAAAGTTAGCTGGTTGTTTGTTGCAGCTGTCTAATAACAGTTGTGTTGGCTGGTTGTTTGTTGCAGCTGTCTAATAACAGTTGTGAGACGGTTGTTTCTGGACAAATGACCATTCTGCCTTTGTTTAACAATATTGTTTATAACAGAACTGCGACAACCTCTGTTTAACAATATTGTTTATAACAGAACTGCGACAACCATATATTTGATATTTTAGAAGCAAAAATTCAATGTAGAATAGTGCAAAAAATTCAGATACACAACTCACTTAACAAACCTCCATAATTCAAGCTTTTTTTGAACTCTTTTTTTAGTCTTATCCACAAGAAGGATAAAGAGAGAACAATAACTAAAAAGAATAGGAATAAAAGACTATATAGGAGGAATTAAAGGAAGTGAGAGAAAAGTTGTTCATTCCTCTAAAATTATCTGATTTCCCTTGATGAAGTAATAATTTATTGACTTCTAGGCAAGAATTCAGATGAGGGAAATATTGAGTTGTATAATAACTAGTTCAGAGAAACATTGAGTTGCATGTGAATATGGCGAAAATAATTTAAACATTGAAAATAACATTTCAACTTTTTTACTTGAAACATGAGAATCAATTTCAGATCATTACATGAAAACAATGATCTAAAAAAAACCATAATTTCAAGCAAAGAATGAGGAGAAAAATCAGTAGCAAACTTACCTGTAGCCGTGCTCGTTTAGGTCTAAACTTGGCTCCTGTAAACTCGAAGCATTAGTCGTCCCAAGAACAACAGACATATAAGTACCAATATTCCCTAAAATACTTCTCTCGGACTCCAAAACCACATACGCCTCAACCTGATTAGCCGCAGCAGGCGGTTCCCACTACTTCAAATGAAAAAATGAAGTCCATCTTCGCTGGCATCGAATCAAATCCACAAGCCGAAAAAACCAAAGCTTTCGTATTTTCGCCTTCTCGTGATACCGCAACACCATGCACTCCATGTACTCGGGCTCGTTGGAGATATCACAGTAATCAGTACCCACCTCAACGCACAGAGCGACGACGGTATTTCCATTGAGGCGGAAGGGACCGACGCAGTTGAGAACGAGGTGGGTGCATCAGAATAGATTGAGAAGGGAAAATTGATTGGATTCAATGACAGAGGGGTAACACTTAAAAATGCCCACGTTTAATCAAAAACGCCGGATGCCATGGCCCTGATGTCGCCTCAAACAGGAGAAAATCGTGGCACGAAGCTGCTCCTCGGAACGAAAGAGCTCTCAAACGGACCCTATTAAGTTTTTTTTATCATATTCATTGTTTCTTTTTAAATTGTTATGGTGTATGGAGGTTTAATTTCTTTTGTATCTTTTCTTGGAGGATTGTTTCTATTCACAACTGTGTTTAAGTTTTGATGCCATTGTTTTTAAATATAAGGTATCTTACACATTTTTCCATAAACTTTTTTAGCTATTTTATCATTATAGTTTGGTTTTGTCATGTTGATTCATTTATATTATCTTAATGTGACTTTGTAGAATTGTTAATTTAAGCTTATTGTACGTGTGACATCGGTTTATGTTATTATAAGAGTGGCCATTATGTTAATTTATTTAGCTGTGTTTAAGTTTTGATGCCATTGTTTAGGTTATTATAAGAGTGGCCATTATGTTAATTTATTTAGTAATTCGTTGATACTATTTCTCATTATGGAGTTAACTCAAATCATGATAGAAATATAAATATTTTTGCGGAAATTCAAGAAGAATTAAAAATGAAGACTCTTGATAATAGAAAAATAACAATACAAACATAAAGACACTCTAGGGCAAGGGCAACCAGGGGTGGCCTCCGGTTGAAGTAGTGGTATCGGGAGGTCGTAGATGTGGGAAATGAGGTTGGGAAGTGGGGTGCAGAAAATGTAGGCCGCAATAATTGGGACTTGTATAGGGAGATGCGTCAGCAGTGGAAGGGCAAGAGGTGGTCGGCTTGGCGTAGGAAGGTGCAGGATGGGTAGGCGGCAACAAGGTCAGGGGACAAGAGGTTAGTGAGTTGGAGTAGGAGGTGCAAAAGGTCGGTGGCGACAAGGAAGTGGGCAAAAGGTTGGTGGTTGAGAGCAAGGCAGTGCAGGAAAGCTAAGCGGCAGCAAGGCCTGGGATGGATGGATGGATGGCGCAAGGCCTCAGACCTCTATGTCCTCCATATTTAGTATCCTTTGTTACTTCCAAAGCATTGGTGCCAGTCATGGGAGTGGAAAGTGTGTTTGGTTGTAAGAAAAAAAATTATGGAGTTGAATTGGGTATGAAGGATGCTGACTGATATTATGATAGCTCTAATATCAATTGATACCAGAGATAAGTCAAACCACAATAAAAATGCAAATATTATTGGTAAAATTCAGAAAGGCTTACAAACAAAGACTTTTGACTATCGAAAAACAACAATACAAACATAATAACACATAATGGTTAGGGCAATGAGCGGTGGGCTATAGCTGAACTAGTGGTATCGGGGAGTCGGTGGGGCTGGAAGGCAGGGGTTGTGGGTTAGAAGATGCGGAAATGTAGGCGGCAGTAGTAGTGGTTGGTATAGGGAGATGCGGCAACGATGGAAGGACAGTAGGTGGTCGACTTGGAGCAGGAAGGTGTAGGATGGGTAGCCCACAACAACGAGAGGGGACAAGCATTTAGCAACTGGGAATAGGGGGTGCAGGAGGTCGGCGACATCAAGGAAGAGGGCATGAGGTTGGCGGTTGAGAGTAGGGGAGGTACGGGAAAGGTAGGAGGCAGCAAGGTATGTGAAGAGATGTATGGGGCCTGCAGGAAATAACAAATTTGCTGATACTGGAACTAGTAAGGAAAACAATGGAAACTCAAAAATAAGCTTTTATCAATATTAAAATAGGATTAAAACATAACTCAAACGGAAAATAACAACACAAGACATAAAACGACAGACAACACCTAAATAAAACCCATTGGGTGGTGGAGATCGGATAGAGGGATAGGATTGAGTAGGAGGGATGGCGGCAGTCACGGAAGGTGGATGGTAGCGAAGGGAAGGTATGAAAATATAGGAATAATAAGTGGGAAGGTTGTAGGTGATCGACAGCGGTAGTGGGGTGGCTGGGAGGAGCTTGAAGGTGTTAGTTAGGCAAGACAACAATAATAATCTGATGGAACGGGGAATAGTTGTGTGTCGGGGTGACAGTGGGAGAGTTTGGCTGCAGATGAGTGGAGAGGAGAAGATTTTGAAAGGGTAAAATGGGAAAATACAATCACTACCTCGGAGAGGATATAGCTGGAGTACTCCCACTTCCTCAGATACAACCCCACAAAGGGGAAAGACGCTCTACACATGAGATTTTTTACTTAGCTCAAACACAACTAACTCCCACATACATAAGGACAACAATTTATAGGCTCCCTACAAGACAAAAGAAACTTCTACACAAAAGGAGGTAAGTGGGAAGACTATAGAAATCCAGAAAGCATTGTTGGTATGCGGTAGCCTCGAGATGCCTTTTTCTGGATTGCGATAGTCAGCAATCCTTCTCTGCTTCGAACTTCTGACTTAAAAATTCTTCCTACTATCACGCGAGGCATCGCGTCCCTTTGCGACTTCGCACGGGATCCCCTGTTATTATGCCACATCGCGAGGATTCGCGCTTTTGTTGTTGTGCTCCTTCAGGTCTCCCGCATTCGCAAACCCTGTTATTATGCCACATCGCGAGGATTCGCGATCTCCCGCTTCTGTTGTTGTGCTCCTTCAGGTCTCCCGCATTCGCAAGTGTTTGCGGGGCTGTTTGTCCCGTGGTTTCGAAGCACTTGCATCGGTGTGCTTTCAACGCTCGTAACCGGGTGCTTGTTGTAGTGCTCGTGTTAGGTGCTGTCCTTGGGCCAGGTGCAGTAGTTACGATGACGATGGCAGCAGAGGGAAGGTGGCAGAGGATGAAAATGTCGAGGATAATCACCACCTCGGAGCGAGATACAACCAGCGCACCACCTATGCTCTGATACAGCTCTAGAAGGGAGAACATGAGCTGCAGAAGGCTGTCCGGACAAAGGACTCAATAAAATCTAACCCTAAAACAGAAAATAACAGTTATATTTAGTAGATAACTAGAAGGGGAAGCCCTTTCCCTTAGGCGGGGGCCCTAGCCCATCATCATGGACAGGCTGGCCCTGCTTCCCTTTTTGCTGAACCGTTCAGCACCCCTAGGGAGCACCGTGTCAGTTTCTCTTTTTAATAAAAACCCTTTCTAATTTGATATGCCTGTTATGCTCCGAAATGGTGAAAGTGATTCGAAAAAGATATTTTCTGCAATTAATTTAATAGTAAACTTCTTTGTCCATTCAGCATCTTGTTGCTTAAAGTTTCATTAAATTTTGAAGATATTGTCAATTCCAATTTTTTAATTTCATTTTGGTGGATCAGGTATGACTATTTTCTTTTCTACTTTGAAGTACAAACTTAAATTTTTTTTGTTTGGCGAGGTTGAACTAACCATACTAGCTCTGCCATTTTATGAAACATCGCTAAATACTTAGCACTGCTATGTAACGTGCTTCTAGAAAAAAAAAATTTTTCTTTAAGTATCTGCAAAATGCGTCATGGCAATAAATAAAGAGAGTAAAATCCCAGTAAAGCGTTAACTTGCTATTTTTTTTCCAAAGTGAACATTATTAACTCCCATGCATGATTAGCTTGTTGGGAGTTTCAGAAAAAAAGATTGCCATCATCTTCATTAGCCTTATCTCAAGAAACTTTTTAACAACTTTTTTGCATTGTCAGATTGTAATTATTGCTCGTCAATGTGGTCTTACACCTATAAAAGAGCTAAATAGTTGTTTTACTTGTAATTTGTTGTATTGCAGCTGGCTGCTTGTGTGTTAATTGTGCATTTGATGCGTACACTGTTAGATGGTAAAGCCGAGTGCCTATCCGTACCACTAGTTGGGATGATTCACATGATTAAAGATAAGGTTGTGGTTTTGGTTGAGTTTATATTCATTTTTCTTTCTGATTTTTTTATTAACACTGCATGTTTTGGTGCCATGTGCAGTTGCTGCAAAATCCTTCCTTTTCTGCCCTTCTTGAACAATACTCTTTCCAAGGTTATAGGTATGGTTGTTACCACAAAATAGTATGCTAATTGATTTCCTTGATCTGAAATTCTAGAATATTTTTGAATGTTACAGAGATTGTGGTTTTGGTAGTGTTTTCCATAACTTTGTTGTTGATATTTGGTTGTACAGTTTGGAATAAATAGGAAATTCTAGGTTATTGAATACATAAAAACATTCTTATCTTATCACTGGTAATATATAGCATAAATGTCTGATAAATCCGTTTCTGTCAGTAGTTTTTCAAATCTCTTTATTTATAGTATTTTGAGTCATAGCACTGTCAATTTCTTGAAATTTTTTTTCTATTTCTAGAGAGGTAAGTTGTACACTTGTTGAAGAGATGAGTTGAATATGCACGGCCTAATTTGGAAAGAATGCTTATAACTCACGTAACTAAAATGAACTACTTTGGTCACTTCTTTTGCTTCGACTTATTAGTTATTCTGCTTTTTGAAGGCGTGGAAATTATGAACCTTTTAGCTTTACAATATCTTCTTCTTATAAGAAACTCTGGATCATGCATCAAGTCATTAAACTTTCATAATCTGATCTTTTTTTCGTTCTTACTTGGATTTATTTATGTATTTTCTTGTAATGTTATCCTTCGACTTACCTAATAATTTTTCTAAAGCAGTTTCTATTTTGTAGTGATGGAAAGGAAGTGAGCCGTCTCGTGCTCCATGATCTTTATCACCACCTACTGGGAGAGATGGAGGGCCGATTGATAGCTCCTGGTCATTTTCAAGAGCTCTCAGGTTTCCTTCTTAATCTTGAAATTTTCCAGTGTAAAGAAAGCATGAATGAGAAGGATTTGTGGGGCACTGATGTTATGATGTATGACATCCCTAACATAAGAGCTGAGCTAGGGTTTGATCTGTGGGATAAATCGGAGTGGAAGGTAGCCAAAGAATTTGGAGAGAAAATGCTGTCTCACATGCATGCGGCAAATCTAATGATATCCTTAGCAGACTCGAAGAGTTTTTCTCTGAAAGCTTTGATTTCTATAATTCTGTTGCACCATGGAATGGTTAGTTTTTTTTTTTTTAATTCATATTTGGTAGGATTTCGCTAATTTTTTCTACTATATTGTTAAATTTAGATTTGGACTGCATGACTATTTTAAGAGAAATAAAAAGATTTATATCATAACTGCATGATTATTTTAAGAGAAATAAAAAGATTTATATCATAACTTAAATTGGATACTCATATGATTCCAGAACCAGTAAATCACTAGCTTTCAAATCATGTCCGTTTAGTCCATTGAACCCTCTCTGCCCTCCCAGAAGATTTTTTTTTTCTCCTCTATTTCTTTCCATTCTGTCAAACCTTGTATCTTTTGATTTTTTTTTACTTTTACCTTTTTCTCCTTGATTCTTTTTTGCTGATCATCAATTCATTTAGAGCCCCTCTTCCCTTTGTTTGCTTATTATACCTTTCATAGAATTTATCCATCATTGCAATACGGAAATGCATAGGGTTTGCAAAGAAAAGTAAAGATGTTCTACATAGGCAAAAGAAAAGGAAACAAATTTCTTGCAATTGTTAGGATACAAGCCACTAAAAACCTTCATAGTAATTAAACAATCATTTTGTTGGATTTTTTATTATCTGAGCTATCGATTTATTGTTTTTGTGAACTTGTTTTAATAGAGAGAATAAACTTGCTTGATATTATTTATTCAAGTTTAAATAAATAATGCATTGTTTTTTGTTTTTATGTGCATCTTATTGTGGACGTTTCACAAACCCAAAATCAACAAATTTTACTCTGAAATGCAATTCCATCTTTTTCCAGGTGCGCAAATCAAAATCGACAATAACCAGCAATGGAATTTCCGACACATTCATTGATAGGAGCATTATACATATTTGCAGATGCATACATTCCACAGAAAAATCCCTTTTTCAACTTCTAAACCCTTCTGAGAAATTGTTAGAGCTGCTCACAACTCAAGCAGAAATGTTGCTTGTTTTCTCCAGGATCTTATTCATGCAACATTCTCATAGAAACAACAAGCAGCAGCTATTTTCTGTTTCGTTAACTCTGATACGAACTTCTGGCTCATGTTTGAAGTTACTGGCTACGAATAAACTATCTTCTATGCTCAAAAATGCTGCAAAATTTTTTCTCATGGTGCTACTGATGTCCATAGAATTCATACATGATGAATTTGCTTTAGATGAAAGTCTGCTTTCTGAAACATCTCAATCGATTGTGGGAATATTACCTCTACTCTGCAAATATGTTGAGCATATTGAATGGTTCGATCTGTCGGTCACATCAATGGACTCGATTCTCCGAAACTTTTTGGCACCTGATATTTCATTGCCAATTTTACATGAGAATCTTCCTCTAAATCTTCTTATTGAAATTCTACGTCGAAGAAGTTCTCTAGCTTCAATTACAATAGCCTTGAATCTCTTGTTAACGTTGGCACAAACAAAAGGCGGCGCCAAGATGCTTCATTCTATCAATCTTTTTGCTTCACTTAAGCTTTTAATCAGTCATCTGGTTGATGAAAATAATCCTAATCCTGCTGGGGGTTATTTCTTTGCTAATTACAATGAAAATGATGTCCGCGCACATCTCTTGGGTCTCGCCATTGCGATAATATCCTCAATATGTCATTCTTTGCACGGCGATTCTTCTGTTATTGATATTTTTGGCCGTGCTTTTAACAACTATTTTGCTGACAAGTCCCATATAATTTCATTATGGCTTACTACACCGAACTTTCTTTATGATGTTCCACGGACATCCCTGGCAGCTCTCCAGCTTTCCGAACATGCTTTTTTGCTCATTTGCTTGCTGGGTGGACATCAAGACTATAGACAAAAAGGGCTGAAAGAAATAGATTCTGAGCTCATGCAGAAAAGCATTCATTTTCTGGCCTTTATAAGCAAGGAAGGACAGCGTATTGGAGATTCATGTAATAGGACAGTACCCCTTTTCTGTTTTCCAACACTGAAAGAGGAGTCCGAGTTAAATGAAAAGCCCTCTTTTGTTAGCAGTAAACATGGATGGTTTGTGGTTTCTGCTCTTGGTGTTTCATGTAAAAATAAAGTCAACAGTTCATTAAGCACAGGCTTATCTATTGTCAATACGGATCAGGCAAATGGATGTGCTGAAGCTCAACCCACATATTATTCTGATGTTGTGTCTGTTCAAATCTACAGGATCACATTTTTTCTTTTGACATTTCTGTGCATGCAAGCTAAAGCTGCAACTGAAAGGGCAGAGGAGGTTGGGTATGTTGACCTTTCGCATTTCCCTGATCTTCCCATGCCTGAGATATTACATGGCCTCCAGGTGCAAAAAAAATACCTCATTGTTATTTAGGGCTTCCAATAATTTGTGTGGATAATTTAGTCTTGACATGTCATATTTTTCTTAATTTAGTTCCTCAACTATACAAAATTAATCTAACATAGTCCACTGGGTTTAAATTAGGATCAGCTTCGTATAGCCGAATTGATGAATTTTATGCGATAATTTTCATATGAGATCATTTCAGATCAATTTTATAAAGGCGAAGGACTAAATTGGTGAAATGTAAATCCCTAAAGTTAAATTAGTACTACATGCAAATAGCTGAGGGAACATGTTGGGATTTATTGCTTTTTATTTACTATGATGATTACTTGAACATTCTGGCATGTTGATAAGATAACTATTTTTCTTTCACATTTTTTGTTTTTTTTTGGTGCATAACCAACGAAAATGTGCTGGGTACTTTGCAAGAAATAAATCTATGCAGTTCATACTTAAAGATAACCGTTGCTTCACTTTTTGTTACTACCATTTGCCTTTGTTAATGATTTTTATTATAGCCTCCATGATTGTAAACCTAAATTATGTGGTAATACAATTTTACTTAACTCTATCAATTGAATTAGGCTATAGCCTATTGTTTTATATCTATGCTCTCTACTATAGGGTTAAGAGTTTATCCATACTCAATAGTGTTGCCCTCTTTTTTTTTTGAATAAAAAAAAGTTTAGACATGCGTTCAATTTGGCTAATGTAGATAGGGTTTATCTTCAATTTCTCTTCTTGAAATTTATATCTACCATTGTGTCCACTTTATAAAATAGAAATATTTGCACCGCTTGGAAAAAAAAAATTTACTTCATAAATATATTAATTTGCAAACTGAACATCCGAAGATACCTTGATAGGGTCAATAAATGCAATGGATAATTAGATTTAGTTAATATGTTATAGTATTCTTTAGTAGTAATGGGTTTATACTGGGTATTATAGTGTTTTATAGATGGTTCTTGTGTCTTAAGAGTCCTTATGATGTTATAAATACTCTATCTTTGGAGTATTGGGGCATGATGAAATGACAACTTATTTTGATGTGATACTCTCTTCTTCCTCCTCAACTTCAATTTTTTTTTGAACTTAACTCTAATGCATCGTTTATCCTTGATCCTCCAAGGTTATAACACTTGGTGTTATCATTGAGAGACATGTACTCCGTCTCCATCTATATTTTTCCTTGTAACAAATCTAGAACTCCATTTCCCGACTCCATCAATGTCTTAACTTTTATATTCATCTTTGTTTTTTAAAACAATTGAAAAAACTGTCCTCTGTCAATTCTTTTATCATTCCTACGATCTCTAATCTGTCATGATGCGTGTGTACAACCTGCAATGTCTTGTAGTCGTTGTCGATTGTCCCATATCGAGTCAGGTCCAACGTCCATCTCTTTCAATAGACTACATATGTTCAAATATGTAAATGCTCTGTCCTCTAAAACTCAGCTCTGGCATTGATCTCCACTTCTGTTCTTGCTAGATTTATAAATCATGTTAATGCCTACTTTTGACATTCAAATCCCCAACTCACATTCCTGGATAACAAGGAATTCAAAAACCACTGCATTGTAGACATCGATCTTGCGGCTAGAGGGTCTTATGAATTCACTTGCAGCTCTAGACTAGAATATCCATAACCTAAATCCAAAAAGCTCTTTAGCTTTCACATCATGCCATTGGAACCGCCTCTACCATTCTTTATAGCTATTCTTGTTGCAGATTCTATTACATTCTTCCATATCGTATTTGCTTTGATTAACATGTTTTTGCCTAGGTCTAAAATTTTTCAGAATATAGATTTACCCAACTTAGATGGAACGACATAGGATGAGATTTGATTTTGGATTGGTCGTTGCTAGCGTATGTGTGGATATCGCATTCGTGGCACTCTGTTACCCTATTCTCTATCAATGGTTGAAGCACAATCAACAACCGAGGAATCAAACCAACATGAATAATTGAATAAAGGTTTGGAGAGTTTTGGGATTGGCTATGCTCGAAGTCAAATTTAAGCAGCACTTGACTCCAACTCCATAGCTTTCGGAGAAAAATCCTAACTGGTTTGTGAAATTGTATAACTTTAAACCAGAACACCGAGTTTTTTAGTGTATTCACGAATAGGATTGTAAATGAGCCAAACACGAACGAGCCCAGACTCAACTTGTGTTCGGCTCGTTAAAAGATACCATTATTTTTGTTTGGCTCTTTAATATTTCAAAAAAAAAAAAAAAAAGTGTTTGTGTTTGGCTCCTTTACTTAGCGAGCCGAACACGAGATGTTCGCAAACACAGTCATTTTGACAACCCTAGTCAAACGTTGGATGTTAAGGGTTAGGCCGAGATTTAAATCTTATTATTTATATTATAATATTATTTAAATATAATTTAATATATTTTTATTCTATTTTTTAATTAATAATTTTAATTGATTTTGAATTTTTATAGTCTTGCAGTCAATTAAATTTTTAAAAAATACTACTTATCAATTATATATATATACTCAATAAATATTTGTTCGTGTTCGGCTTGTCAGCCCTATCGATGAATTGCAGGTGCTTTGTGATGTATTTGGATACTCAAATGGCAAGCTGTTGCTCAAGCTCCTCATGGATATCAACAGGTCCTTGCTTGCTCTTGTGAAATCTCGTTTCTGTTACAGAGGAGAGGAAACAAAAAGTCGAAGGAAGGTGAAGTAAGAGGGTTCGGGAGGTCGAGTGGTTATTTTCGTGTATATGATGACGAGAAGGAGAGGAGCTAATAGGCGAGATCGACTTACCCACGGTGTGTGAAGGCGACGAGGTTGAGGCAGAGAAGACGGCGGTGTTTGTCTGGTGCGGGAGAAGTCGTCAAGCATAGGCGACAACAGTGGCGTCTCTGTCACACAGAGTTGGAGCCAACGTCGGTGTCGTGCAATTAATTAAAGAGCCCTCATGTAAAGGAAGGAGCGAGCTGAGTGTAGAGGAGAAAGAGCTGAGCTTGTGTGGGATGGAGCCAAAGCCATGGTTCTCTTGTGCACCGAGGATCGGGATCTCGCGGAGGGGAGGAAGAAGTTTGTGCGTGGTTTAAGGATCGGCGAAGTAAGTTTTTTAAAACTAAAGCTAATCGAAATAATAATAATAATAATACTAATAATAATAATAATATTAATAATATATTAGAATATTAGAATATTATTATGCAGAATTCTATATTAATTGCTTGGATTTGCTTTTATTTGCTTTACTTTTTTCTTATATTCTGTTTTATTTATTTCCTTACTATTAGATCCTGTAATTGGTATTTATACCCCTCTTTGCATCAATCATATTATCCTGGTTCTATGCTAACATGGTATCAAAGCCATGGCCTTAACCTAACTGCCGTCAGGACTCTCTGTGTTGTCGGTTGACCAGTTCACACCCTTTCTCCTCAGCCGACAAGGTCTACTTCAGGTCGTCTGCTTCAACATCTACTCTAGGTCGTCTGCTTTGGCGTCTGCTCCAAGCGGTTCCTAAGCTGCATGCTTCACCATCTGCTCCGATGAGTGTCTGCTTCAATCCAGATCAACGTCTGCTTCATCGCATGCTTCGGCGTCTGATAGTAACTTTTCTTGTAGTCGTCTGCTTCGCTCTTCCTACCGTTAATACTCAGCGCCAGCCTCAACAAGCCCAAATTTTCCCGGGTCGCTCTCCCTGATTCGCTCTTCCTACCGCAGGACCTATTCGATTCGCTCTTCTCGTTTGGTGCAATCAATCACTAGAACTTCTGGTGCGAGCCGTTAATACTCAGCACCAGCCTCAACAAGCCCAAATTTTTCCGGGTCGCTCTCCCTAATTCGCTCTTCCTACCACAGGACCTATTCGATTCGCTCTTCTTGTTTGGTGCAATCAATCACTAGAACTTCTGGTGCGAGTAGTCCCGTGTTTTTTGTGTCATCTGCAAGAAGCAACACCGGTTCTTCCCGTCTGATGTGATCAGCCATCAGAACTTCCTTGTTCCAATTGACGAATGTTTCCGATGTTTCTAGTCCCTTCAGCAGTATGAACTCCCTCCAGCTGGTCGGTTCTTCCCATTTGGTGTGATCAGGGACTTGTCCAGCTGTCAAATCCTCATATCTTATCCTCAATTAGGGATCTTCCTCTGTCTCAATACTTCAACATCACATTTGGCTCAGTTGGGATCATGACAAGTCTTAACAAGAAGCTTGTCGAAGTTTGTGGTCGTGTTTTTGGTCGAAATCCTCTTCCTTCTACTTGTATTGCTTTCACTGAGATTCATCACGAAGAGAGTCGGAGACCTGTCATGCTTGGTGAGCACTCAATCTGCCGAAATATCCTCTTTTGTATGTCTCTAATAGTGCTCAACTCGGGGCTGGTCACCCCACTTGTGATTTTTGTCGCAAACTGAACCACACCTGTGATAAATGGTGGAAGCTCCACGAGAAACCTGCTTTCAAACCTTGGGTGAAATATTCTGTTGTTAAAGTTTTCACTGCAACTTCTGAATCCAAAACAATACAATCGGTCTCTACCCAGAATAATTTAGAATCCTCAAATTCTCTTAATAGTCAAATAAAGCACTTAATCAAGTCGCTTGGATACAATCCGCTCTCTTCTAGCTTGTTGATCTCCCACGTTCGGCAAGGTACCATTCTTATGACATTTTATTTGCCCCTTCTAGTCCATAAATCGTTGATTCAGGTGTCATGAACCACATTACTGGAAGCCCTTAAGCCTTCTTGACGTATTATCCGTGATCAGAGAAATATTTTGTTAAAATTGTTGCTGGGTCCCAAAATTTCATTGCTGGTATCGGGTCCGTTATTTTAACAAAAGGTCTAATTCTAGAATCTGTTATATGTATCTCTGCTGAATTGTAATCTTTTATCTGATATATGACATTAATTGCATTGCTAATTTTAACTCCCGATGTCTATGTCTTTCAGGAACATCATTAGGGGAGGATGATTGGAACTGTTAAGTTGGTTAGCGAGCTCAACTTCTTT